TAATTATCAAAAATATTTTATATTTTATGCGAAAGCTCTTATTATCTTTCTTTTGCTACAGTACAAAATTAATCACATTTGTTCACTATTATTTAATTCAATTAGAAGAAGATTAAATATGATTGATGATGATAATTTAACAATACATTTTCCAACAGCTTTCAAGTCATTTTTAAAATATTTTTATTTTATGCATATTTATGCCGAAAGATAATATCTTTTCTGTACGCTGAAAAAGAAGATATTTTTGAATTGTTAATTTTAAATCACATATTTAAATTGAGGAAATAATTGATCGAAATTGATTAAAAGAATTTTTATTCCAAAATTTGTTTTTAAGATTGAGATAAGATATTTTAAGCTATATTTCTAACAAGGATAATATTTATATAATTATTTACGTATCGCAGAATTGCTTGAGAGATATTCACAGATACGTTCTATTGCAGGACCTGATAGGCACAACGATTAAGGATTTGTGCCACCCTCATGATCTCAATACGCTCTCGAAACATTTGAGCGATACGCTTCAACTCGGTGAAAATACGAGCGATGTATACCGACTGCGCGTTAGTCCTGATAAGTTTCTTAAGATTCAAACAAAGTCAAAATTTTTCAAAGCAAGTGTGATGAATGTGCACGATAGCGATTTCATGATGGCTACTAATTCCATCATCGGGTAAGTTTGCACACTGCTCTTATTACTTAGAATTAATGCAACGATATTGTAAACATGATATCATACTCATATCTTATTCTCTGATAACTCGATAAATGATTGTTCATTAAAAAGTATATCAAAGTCGAAAGGAATGTCATTTGACTATATTATATTATATGAAAGTAATATTTTAATATCTTAAAAAAGCAGCAGCTTAATTATTCTTTTTTTCGAGCAGAGAGGATTTTGTGAGACATATATAATGTCTAAAATATATTTTAATAACTTAAACGTATTTTGGGCTATTATATATAACATTTTTATTCTGTAACATTTTAAAGCAGAACTGGTTGTAATATATACAAAGAAAAAATTTTTTCTGAAGTATTATTTTTTATTTTCTTTAAAATTATAGGATAATATGTAGTCATTGAATGTCGATGGAGAGAGATGATTAAGCTGATGCAAAACATCTCAATTGCGATTTATATAAATTACGAATAATCTTAGATTAAAGAGAAGATATGCATCTAACTGACAAATATGTATTGTTTTATTTTTTATGATAGGGACAATGACTTAATGTCTATCGAGGGCGGTCAACTTTCCAACAACAAAGTGTGCTCAGGACACCCTAGTAACCGTTGTGCGAATAATAGTAATAATAATAATGGTAACAATAACAATAACGTGGGTGGTCCGCTGATGCCCGTCGCGCATCTGAACGGTCAAGTGAGTAGTATCAGTGCTCGTGGTATGGCGGTATCGCACGCCGCCACATCGTCGAACTCAATCGCCTTTAACACGGGGGGGACCGGTGGCGGCGGTGGCAGCGGTGGTGGCAGTGATTCATGCAACCCTCTGACGTCGATAAGCACGTCGAGCGGTAATCCGTTCAACCATTTTCCGGGAAACATGGACCTGGAATTCGAGCTTTTCCCTAGTTCCACAGGTTGGGACTTGGATAGTAGTGCTGGGTGGGTGGATAGGCCAGAATCGAGAGCGAGTGGGCCACCGAGCTCACGACCGTCTTCCCAGCCGGCTCCGACATCACCGAGTCCGCAGGGAACCTTTTCGAATTCGGCAGCAGTGGCATCTCACTGTAGTCCTCTACGATCGTTCAGTCCGACGGTCAGCGCTGCTCACACCTTCAGTAATTCGTTCCCCTTTAGTCCTCTTCAAGAGACCACGCAGACGTCCACGTTGAGTAGCAATGCCGCCAGCATCAGCACCAACGGCGGCAACGTTAGTGGCATCGGAAGTAACACCGCCACGACGACCATCAAGCGAACGGAAGAGAGTAATAAGAGCGGATGTCCTACTAGCAACAGTGGCGGTACCATGGACAACGCGACGGCGAGGACCAGCGGTGCCGTCGAGACTCAGAATAACAGTACCATATCCACCGAGTCTGGTAGGCTGCGGAACTTGTTGACCAAGGGCCCGAGTGCCAGCGAAGACAGCCAGGATAATACGAATAACGATTCGGATAATCAGAACAAGCACAGAATACTGAAGATTCTATTGAACCAGCAGGACGAAGACGACTATCATTCGGAGCATAAAGTGCGCACGAGTCCTAGCAACATGCCAAAATCTAGCATGGAGCACTCCAAGTCGTCGCTCGGAAACAATATGCTATTGCAGGTAACTCGATAGTTTTTAATAATTATAAAAGCATTAATAGCTATAAACAAAGTAAAAGTAAATTTAATATAGAATTGACAGCTATGTTTCATTTACTATTTTATTTCTTACCGCTATCAGTTACATTTGATTGATAATATTCGAGAAAAATCGTGAATCCTAAATAAAATTTATTGCTTTAGATTGCCTGATTGCAATTATTTTTTAAATTATATATATCTTTCTATGAAAGACCATTGAAACGGTTCATACGTGTGTTCGTTTTTAATTCTCATCACTTTACTATTTTCCCTTTTTTGTACTTTAAGTTACTAAATGAAAAAAATGATGACGAGGATGAGGAGACACGTGCTGGAGTGAAGAAAAGAAATGAGCTTCTGCAGCAACTAATGAAAGACCCAGACGAAGAGAGAAAGTTACAAGAACAACAAGTATGCTTTAGTATTGCTAATTTTATTAGCATATTGTTCAGCTTAACAGCGTCAAATGTTTTTAATTAATTTTTTTTAAATTTTTTGTGTTTTGTATTAATTTTTAATTTTTAATTTTTAGATAAATTTTTAATTTGTAATACTATTATTTTTCTAAGAAATTAAATTAAATTAAAATTGATATTCTGTACAACAGTTTTTTTAATTAAAATGATTCTATTTAAATATAAAAAAAAAGAATAGGTGAGCATAAGTTTTTATTCTTAGTTAGTGCAAAATTTTTTATATCATTATTTTTGTAGGAAATTAAAACGACTATTCTGCATAATTTTTTTACTATAAATTTTTTTAAAACTAAAATAACTGTTTTGTACAGATTAAAATAACACTATTTTTTAAAACAGTTTTTTACAGTAATATATATAAAAGTTTCTCACAACATTAACTTTCTGCCTTTTTTAAAAAGGTAAGTTTTAAGGCTAAAATCAGAACCGGTAGAAAAGTCATACGTATATGGCGTATATGGGATGACGAGGTAACTCACAATAGTAGTAGATACCAAGTTCGAGACCCGACACAGCCTAAATTTTTCTTCTCTTGCATTATTCTCTAATGTTATAACTATTGAAAGAGGTGGGGATAGAATTCAAGTTAGGAGTGATAGAAATAAAGAAATGTAAGGAAATAAGGAATATTTGGTGTATTGTAGAATCGGGAGGACGATTCTCTCTTGCGGAGTCTTGGATTTCGGAACACCACGCCGTCGCCATCGCAATCTAGTGATCATGTGGCTCTTGGCAGTGCGACTCAGGTAGGCCAGAAGAGACCGGGAGAGGATGGCGATTTGAACGTGGCTGTGAAACGACCTGTGGACGGATCGCATCAAGTATCTTCTTCAGGAACGAGCTCCTCGAGTAAGACGCCGAGCATACTGTGGGAGAAGAATAAGATGCTGGCATCTTTGTTAGCGAAACAGCCGTCACAAACAACGAATGTACCAACGAAGTTGCCCGCGTCTGTGATATCAGCAACACCACAGGTACGTGATCTGATAATAAAATATTTGATAATAAATAATTTAAACTAGAATTTTCGGCCAGTTTGCGATTAATTTTTAAGATTAATATAAAGAGAACATATATTAATCTTTACACACTTTTCTTGTGTAATCTGCGTAATAGACTGATAACTACTTCGGTAGATCATCTATTCTAGTGTAAAAGGTGTGGTCTTATCTTAGAGACCCTCAAATTATAGTTTGTGTCCACTTTTCACTGATTGACTGAGATTATTTTTGGTCAAAAGTGATGGAATTAATCAGAATTATTGAAAATTTTAGTATTGTTAAAATAGTATTATTAATTATAAACATAATAAGTATAAATTACGCGCAGTATCTCAAACTGTCCGTGCGTTAAGAATTGAAAGAGAGCACAATAATTTTAGAATCGGTTTTATTCTTTTTAATTTAACTAGATGGAAAGGCTCATAAAACCTTAGATCTCCGTAGAAATTTATGACACCTTTTCGAGATAAAGGACAAAAGGGCTCCGCCTCTTTTCACGAAAGGCTAGGTTTTCTAAAACTTTTCCCTTTCTATTTTAAGAACTTTTTTTCTACTTGGTTCAGTGCTTTCTAAACGTGCCTGTGATCTATAACTAGTTTGTTACGCGCTACAATTGCGAGTGCATTTCTTATTTTTTGGCCAAAATTTATATAATAAAGAATGCAAATTTATTTTAATAATGTAATAAAAAACATGATTTTTTAATAAATTCATATATAATATATACATAATTAATAATATATATTTATTAATTTTAGGACAAGCTGCCTCGTTTAAAACAGCAGCAGCAGCAGCAGCAGCAACAGCAGCAACAGCAGCAGCAGCAACAACAACAACAACAACAGCCGCAGCAACAACAGCCTTGGACCGGTGGCAGTATGCAAGTTGGTGGTAACAACACGATTACGACGACGGCGACGTCGGCGCGTCCTCTTCAAAGTCAGTCGAGACAACTACCTCGTCAATCAGCCAATACCTACCTCAGTCATATACTAAGTCAAGTAAGTGTGATTTAATCTAATGTATGAAACATTGAATTGTAAATTAATTAAAAATCCATAATTAAATTTTTTTGTTTATGATTTACGAGATAATTAATAATAATAACATTTTTATTAAGGATTCTCAGCGCTGCCATCCACTTAAGTCACTTCTTGTTACTTTTTTTTTGACAAGTTACTAGAAAGTCACTATTGTTCAAAATAGGTCACTATAGTCACTTCTTGAACTGATATGAAATTTGTAAAACATAAGAGTTCTATTTATATTCTTGCTGTCTCGTCTGATAATAATTGTTACTTGCTTACATATTTAATAAAATACACTATTTATTTAATTATTATATTTTATTATTTTTTATTAATTTGTTATATGTTAGGCTATCGAAAAATAGATCTTTTTTTTTGTTTAAATGGTCTTAATTATTCTGAAAATTTGATACACGGTGTCATTTTTGGTTGCTATTTTAATACCTAAAGGTTACTTTTTGTCACTTTTTCTATCAAAAAACAGTCACTATTTCACTTTTTTTAGTTCTATGACTGGATGGCAGCGCTGGGATTCTTCATATTGTGGAGGATTTTAAGTTCTGGGGGATTTTATGAACACTTTACTAGCAGATAACAAAAAAAAGAAAGCAGTACGACGGCGTAGGGGGGGGGG